TCCAAAAGCCCCGCTAAAATTTCTATCCCGCACAAAAGAAACCCCATTCCCTCGTCTTCCTTTCAACTGCTCCAGCGAAACCCCTCAAACTTTTCTCTTTGCTGATTCTAGGTTATCAACCCTCTCTCCTTCATCTCTCGCATTTCCTTTGTTCGGCAGCTGAGAGTAACTGAACTGAACTAAGTCACCGATTTCTCTCTCCCCCATTCTTCTTCTTTTCTTTTCATTTTCTCTCACTTATTTTCTTTTCATTCGTCCCTTGCTGTTCTACGGAAAACTAGACACCATCAAACCCTTTTCTTTTCCGGTTCCAGGATTCCAACCCTCTCTCTCCCTCATCTCTCGCCACAACGTCCTTCGGCAGTTGAGAAGAACCGAACTGAACTAAACTTTGGGGCAAGGGAAGTCACGGATTTCTCTCTCTCTCTCCCTTTTCTTTTTTCTTCTTTGGTTCATCCCATGTTTTTCTGCAGGAAACTAGACCATCCAAGGAACCATTTTCGAGCACACTCTCATCCCTACTAATGGTCCCTTAAAAGTGATTTCAGCAGGCGTTTCAAAGACACCTCAGCATTCTCTTATGCTATCTGCATTGAAACTCCAATTGTACACTATAAGAAACAAACTCTCCACTCTCCACTCCATGAGAGAAAGAAAAATCTACTCTAGAATATTAAATATATAAGAATTGCCCGTTTCATTTTGAAGACAAAAGTCCCTCGGCAATGCAAAGTGTCAAGTATGAGATTGCCACCGTATTTCATGGAGTGGATCAATTTAAAAGACATCTATCTCAATTTTTATCAGAGGAGGGTAAGCATTCGTTGTGGGCCCAGACATTTGCATATGTTATCTTCATATCTTTAACTGTTTTTTAAACATATGAACCTTAGGTGTTTGTAAAATATCTTGTTTTGGTATTGCCTATTTCAATTTAATATATAATTTGATGCATATCTTACACAATCTAACCTTTATTTATATTTGCTTTCCTTGTTTCTTCTGCAGATTGAACAAATACAAGAGTGATAGAAAGACATTGTTGAAGATATTGAACATCAATATTTTACATTTTTTTTTTTGTGATTTATTATCATATGTAAAAAGAATTTTGTGTTTTTTATAATATTAATGTATGAAAACCATGTTAAAACGTACCTTTATTTTTAATTAATATATTAGCTTTTATTAAATTTTATTTGAAATCTTCATGTGGTGTTAAAATTGAACAAGTGCTAATTAGGTTGAATAAATTGCAGATCTATAGCGGCATGTATATCCACCTTTCATCTCATATAAATTTTCTTTTATATCTGCCGCTCTCATCAAAACATAGAGTTATAGTGGCGAATATATTTGCCGCTATGTATTAATGGCGAATATTTATGGCAGAGATATCCGCCGCTATAGGCGAAATGATACATCTATAGCTGCGGATATATAAAATGGTGACAATTAGATAATCTTTTAGCCGTGGGTATATGCATCGCAAATAACAAATTTTCCTCTTTTATTGATGACTTATAGCGGCGGCTTTTTTATACGCCGCTATAAGCTATAGCGACGGTGCATACAGCAACCGTAAGGGATTCGTCGCCAATCCACACCACTAAGGACCTATAGTGGCGGTTTTTTGGATGTATAGCGGCAGAATGCCGGTTTTGTTGTAATGCACCCCTCCACCTCGAGTAAAGTTAAAAAAATAATAATTCGCTTACTAGTTATTCCTTTTTTTATTAAGTGTAGAGAAAATTCCCAATTAGTACCATGTACTTTGCGCTAGTGCCACTTTGGTCTCCAAACTTTAAGATGAGACAATTCAGTACCTAAACCTTTGAAATGTGTCAATCCAGTACCTACCATTAACCAACTATTTAATAGCATTTGAAAAAGACACAACTTTCTTGAATAGAAGATGCAGGGATTTGGAATTGTTAATTTTTTGTCAACGTTTGAATGGTTGATAAAGAAAATTAGATGACACTCGAGGGGCACTTGTGTCCTTTTCAAATGCTATTTAACAGTTAATTAACAGTTGATTAACGGTAAGTACTGAATTGATACAAAGTTCAAATACTAAATTATTGCATCTTGAAGTTCAAGGATCAAAGTGGCACTAGACCCAATGTACAGGTTGGGAATTTTCCCTTAAAAATATAAAACAAAAAATTTCTTTTTTTTTCTTTTTTCCGTCCGACCTGACAATACAACTCATGGATACAGTAGACTTGGCAATGAAAGGGCTAATGCAGTGAAATCCCCATTGTCAATGAAATGAAATTGCCATCGTCATTAAGATTCTGCCGTGGAGGGGATAAGAATATTGCCTTTGATAGCAGTGGCCCAAAGCTGCACGTATTTGTGTAGCATGTTTTGCCATTTGGTCCGTTGGTTAACATATTTCGATACGATGCTTTTGATACGGGGAATATCTTATTGTATCCTTTATTGTAGACCAATACATCTATTTTAAGGGGTTTTAGGAAAATATGTTTTTAATAATTAGATAACATAAAAATGGGCCCCTCTCTAAATTTAAAAAACTATAAAAAAAAATTATTATGCAGAAAAGATATGGTACCGAAAGAGTTTTGACCAATCAAAACCCACTAATGAATTTTGATAAACCTAAAAAATAAAATTCATACTATTCAAAGTATTGATACACCCTAGCTGTTTGGCATCGGTGCTGAGAACACTATATTGTTTTCTCAGAAAAATGGTACTGGACATGTGAAGTTATAAGAACCATTTTGGAACCGGTGATTCCACATAGATGTTTTCTAAGAAAACAGCACTGTTTTTGTTTGGCACCAGTGCTGGTAGCAATGTTTTCTACATTGGTCTATATTATCTAACATCTAAGATGATGCCATATTATTGCACCACAGGCAATAATACACCATTTTCTCAAAAAACACTGAATTTAGCATTGTTCCATACCATGTTTTTTCGATTTTCAAGGCATGGTCTGAAACAACATTTTTTCTAGAAAAATAATACCAAACAAGAGGGCATTGTTTGAAGCATTGCTTTCTTTGATGTGGCACCTACATGGCACTGTTTTCTTAGAAAATGGCATTGATGCCAAACATCGCTCTCATATATCAGGGGTGTACCTTGGTCTTGAGTATATTATTGTGAATGTCATCATCGTCAAACCAGCACCATAGAGTTCTACCTACCCAAGCCATTAGGATTTTGAGAAGCCCAGGTTGTTAATGTCGGATGATTTTCTTTCTAAAAAGGCTAGGCTTTTAATGTATAAATTCAACACATAATGTTGTGGTACGAGGAACGTTTAAAAAACCAGACCGGCCTGGCCAGTTGAACCATGACCCAGGGCCCTGACTGGTTCAGACATATCCCAATAATTGAACTTGCTCAAAACCCACTAACTGGCCGATTGAACTGGAAAACCGGTGAATCAGTCCTGATTTCATGAAACCACCCAGATCTATCATAAGTGAAATTTTAATAGCAAGATTTGAACTAAAAACCTCTTATTTTCACAAATTACTTAATTACCACTAATCCACCTTTTTACTTTTACTAATTAATGATTATTTATTATACATATTATATTATTATGCACGTATTTTAAAGAAAATGCAAGTTAAAAGGCTTAAACCCTAGTCATTTGATTTAAAATTTAAAAAACTTATTCTCCATCCACCATATCTAATTACATTAAAAACTATAAAATATATTATATATAATATTTATATGGCCCGTAGTATATATATATGCCACATCATCACAGTTTGACCCCAGTCAAACCTCTAACCCGTGAATCTCTCCCTTCTCCGGTTTTATGCCCAATCTAGTTCTTTGAACATTGGGTATGTGAGACTAAAATTGGTAGGGCAATAACATAATATATGCAAATTTATAATACTTATTTTGAATTGTGAAACTGCAATTAAAAAGGGAGAATGACAGTTCAGCCCAGCATCAGAATTTTTAGGCCCAAAGTACAGTTGGGGTGGGTGCCAACTTGGAATTGATGCCAATTCACAGGCGGGCATTGGTGTATAGAGTGGGGGGTTTTGACATTTTGAATGTCTATAACTCTGCAATGGAATTTAGAAATCTGCATTGGGCCTATCCGTACTTTTCTGATTAAAATTATGGAAAATTTCCAATTAGTATCCTAAACTTTGGGCCTAGTGCCACTTTGGTCCCCAAACTTTAAAATGCGACAAATAAGTACTCGAACTTTCAAAGCATGACAATCCAATACTTGTTGTTAATTTACTATTAATCATCCGTTAAGCGGCATTTGAAAAAGAAATAAATGCCCTTCAAGTGTCATCTAATTTTCTTTATCAACCATCCACCAAACATTAAAAAAAAAAATTAACAATCCAAAATCCTTACCTCTTCTATTCAAGAAAGTTGGGATCATTAGAATGCCCACTCAAATGTGACCCTAACTTTCTTGAATGAAAGAGGCAAGGATTTGAGACTGTTAATTTTTTGTTAACGTTTAAATGGTTGATAAGCAAAATTAAATGACACTTGAAAGACATATGTCTCTTTTTCAAATACCACTTAATAGATGTTTAACAGCTAGTTAATAGTAGGTATTGGATTGTCATGTTTCGAAAGTTCAGGTAATGAATTGTCGCATTTTAGGGACCAAAGTGGCACTGGACCCCAAGTACAGGATACTAATTGAGAATTTTCCAAGCTATGTTTGGTTTGAAGGAAAATGTAGGTAAAGGAAGAGAAAGGTAAAAAACCTATACAAGATTTGTAAAGATTTCCCTACCTTTTCCTTCAAACCAAACATAGCCTTTAAAATTTTTAGAAACCATGACCAGGGGCACGGGCAATAAAAGAAGGAAGCATAGGAAGAACATCACTCACCCCAACTGGGTTCATCGGTGACCCATCTAATACATTGTCTCGCATTTTAAATGGATATTTCTAGGACTTTCTTTCTTTCTCTTTTATATTGCCTAGTTTTATTGGACAGAAGAGGAATAAGAATCAAAGAAAGTGGAGATGGAGACCTGGCATGGCATGGCAAGGCAAATGCTGAGGCCACAGAGTGCTTTATATGAACCTTCCAGATTGCAAATGGAGAGTGAATGCTAAGTTTATGCGATGGAATAAAGGCAATATATTCCTTTTTCTTATTTCAGATTTTATGAAAATAAAACACTCTTATCTTTTTCATTTAAAACTATAAAATGGGTCAATGGGTAGCTGGTGAATAGTGGTGAGTAGCAGCCTTGTCGTTGGGGTTGCACTGACAAGGGTTTCATCCTCTCCCAGGCTTCCAGCGATTAAGGGCATGGAATTCATATTTGAGTTCCTGTTCGAGCGATTAAGATCTCAGACAACATTCAAGCTGGAATCATTGGGCTCTACGAAACCGGAGGAGTTTGGAAACACAACCCTCTTGTTAAAATCAACGATGCTTTTCTCCGAGCAAACCGTGATTTTGATTTGGTGATCTGGGTTCTGGTATTTGGGGAATTAAATATTGGAACAGATCTGCCGGAATCAAATCGGTGATAAGTCGGGGTTGACAAGAAACCAGCAGATCCAACTTATCACCGATTTGCTTTCGAATCAGGTCCATATTTAATTCCCTAAAGACATGAAATACCCCAAATAACCATATCAAAATTCGATCTGCTCGCAGAGGGCAGAGGCGTTGTTGATTGTTTTCAAGAGGGTTATCTTTCCAACCCTCCTGATGTGGTGTCATTAGAGTCCAATAATTCCAGCTTGATGTTCTCTGAAGTACTGCACATCTTCTCAAACATCAAATCCACGACCTTAATCGTTCTGAGGGGAATTTCTTCTCCGGAAAGCCACATCACCGAAATTGTTGGTTTTCTGACTCCAAATGCAGACAATCTGCTTTCCGGAACGGCCGTTTCTTCGTGGTATCGGCGTTGATCCTCACGGCAGTTTTTTGTTTCCTCTATCTGCAAAGTTTTAGCAATATTCCTGCCTTTTTCTGACCAATTTCCGCCTCAGAGATGCTATAGGAGTGATACATATGAACCTATCGCTATCGCTTGTAAACGGGACGATTGGCAAAATATGTAAGGCAAAACAGTTGTTATTTCTTCTGTTTGCATTCGCACCAACACTTGCACCATTCATGTAGGTAATCTTTGGATGTGTTTTTTCTCTTGTTAGGATCTTGGATTGGGCTTTACGCCAAAGAATTTTCATACGCTCTCAGCTTGACTTCCTAACCATGGTTCCCCTTGCTTTCTAACATCAGTTACATTTATTTATTTATTTATTGCTATATTTTTCTGATTATAGCATCATTTCTCAATCCAAATGGAAAAGTAAAGCTATCCCAGAGTTAAGTTCTTTGTGTGGAGAGTCTTCCATGATAGTCTCCCTGTTACGAGCAACCTACTACAGAGAAGGAAAGTGAGTGAGTTCAACTTCTAACTGTCCTCTGTCGAAACCTTACTGAGTTGACCATACTTTTGGTTTGGATCTCAGCTGGGTTTCAGGTTTGTGTTCGCGGATTGCTTATTATGTGGCTTAAAGACAACTCACTCTCAAAGAGTGATAAGAAGAACTTTACACTCCATTTTTCCACAACAGCTTGACAGATTTGGAATAATAATAGAAATCGCTTCATTCATTTCGGTAATTACTCTGACCAAGCTTCATCTGATCTGTATGTTACAAGGGTGAGCAGGCTGATATATCAGGTGATGGAGATGGCGGACCTCAGCGATTCAAGTCCGGTTCCCAGGACAGACACAGCAATGATGGCGCACACTGCAACATATAATGGTGGACGGTGCTTTTTCATCTAATAGCTAGCGCACACTGCATCGTCGCTGACTTTGAAGTCAAGAAGATGTTCTATTTTTGCTGAGGTTCATTTTTAGCTACATCTATGGGTTTGGACTTTGGACTGTGCTGTTGTGGAATCTGATTGTCAAGTTCTAGTTCTTGTTAGATGTTTAAGCAATCCAAATAGCTCTCTACTCCGAGTGAAATCTGGGTCTGGCCAATAGTTAAGGGCATGACGAGAAGCAACGTTTCTTGGAAAATCATGTTAGCAGAGAATCAAGTCCTAGGACTCTTAGCTTGGCTGTGTTAAAGGGGAATGGCGTTACACTACACGCCTCCTATTTGGCTTTTAGATTCTTATGCTTAATGTTTCGTTCATCAATAACAGGAAAATACAACAGCCCTTCGGAGATAATGTTCTAAGAAAGTAAGGACTACGGAAATTCTCCCTCCCGGTAGTTATTTGGAATTGTGTTCAAATCTTCTGACGTTTTCCGTTGGCAGTTGGAAAGTTGAAAAAACAAGAAAAAAACGAAGTATACGTATGAACCAAGGCAAGCACCGGAGCAAGCTAGATGAGTGGAAATTGGGTATAAATATATTAGAGGCCGGTTGATTCAGATTCTTGTGAGAAAGGAAATAGAACAATTTTCAGTTCTGCTTGTTTATATCAAAGATATCATCAGTAATAGAGTGACAACGAAGAGGTCGAAATGATTCAAAGATGAAACTTGAGCAATATTTGGGGTGGAGGTTGAACATGGATGGAAAGCTCCGCTTATTGCAGTCGCAGAGGAGGCATGTTAGCGATAATATCATAAAAGTTGGCACTTCTAATTAGAACAATCCCAATCATGATAAATTAGCAGTAGAGAAAATAAATTGGAGTGCTGTTAGGAACCAATGAGGGAATAAAAAGATATAGTTGGATCTAACCCCCACAAATTCTATGATAAATTAGCATAGGCATCTGCTCCCTTTTTTATCCAAATCTAGATAAGAAGATGAACACAAATTCTGAATCACCATCTAATTGGGCGATCACTCTTTCTTCACTGTTTCATTCAAAGTGGCAAATTCTGAATACAGAGGGATCAGTCACCACCAGTTCTATGTCAATAAAAAGCAATATTTTTTGCTGTGGACTAAGAGACGTATTTCCCCACCCTAAAAAAAAAATAAGGGGATGCTAACAATAGCACAATGTACATTGGTACACTACACGTTATGTCTCACATGCCGTACTCTCTTCCTCTTTCTTCCAATTGAATGGCTCTGCTCTTCATCCCTTCAACGTATAGGAGGCCCCAAGCTGCGATATAAACAAATAACTCAGTAGTCGGGCGGGTGATCTTCCACCCTCCCAGTCCTAATGAAGCAAAACCCCATTGCTTTTCAAATGAATAAAAAAAACGAAGCCAACAAGAAAAAGGAGTGAAACACAACAAAAAAACAGAGCATCTTATCCATCAATAGCACTTGCTGTAGATAGTGACTCTGAATAATGGATCTGGGATTGAGACCGAGTCTGGGCTTCAGCTTGTGCTTGAGCCTGCTTCTGCTGCTCAACAAACCTGCTTATACGATCAAGTAACTGCGCAGCCTTGCGCTTACCCCTGTCTGTACCATTTTGCACAAGGTCCAGCAGTAGATCCATCAACCCAAGTTCCTGGGCTTCTGCTATATGTTTTGGGTCACCTGAACACAAGTGCACCAGCACTGCAGCTGCATTTTCTCTGTTCCTGGGAGATCCACTCCCAATTACCTCCACTAGGACAGGCACAGCTGCTGCAGCTCCAATTGCCATTTTCCCCTCGGGGTGACTTGCTAATATTGCTAGTACGGCCAATGCCTCGTCTACCATTCCACCACCAGGTTCTGTCAACAACCTCATTAGTGTGGAAACTACTCCAGCTCTCACTGCCCTTCCCTTGTTTCCTTGGTATATGCATAAGTTAAAGAGTGCCGTTGCTGCATCTTTTTTGCCCCGCTGGCTACCTTCATTCAGCAGCGCTACAAGTGCTGGGATTGCCCCAGAGGCACCAATGGTTACCTTGTTCTCATCTACTACCGACAGACTGAAGAGTGTGGCTGCTGCATTCTCCCGTGTCTCCATGCTTCCCTTCTTGAGCACATGTACAATACCTGGTACAGCCCCAGATGATATGATGCTACTTTTGTTATCCTCGCAAATGGAAAGATTCAGGAGTGCAGTAACAGCATGTTCCTGGGTCCGGGGGTCAGTAGTCAAGAGGAGGCCAACAAGGAGGGGAATAGCACCAGCCTCTGCGATGCAGACACGATTGTCAGTATTGCGTTTGGCAAGAAGACGCAGCTCACCGGCAGCTGAACACTGGTCCTCAATGTTTCCAGATGTAAGTTTGCGAAGGAGAATATCAATTTTGGCACGTTCAGCAGGAAGACAGACAGATGCAGTCTTACTGGGACGTGAATTGCTTGGCCGTTTAGGGGGTTCAATGCCATTGGCCTCACACCACTGGGCTATGAGGCTACGTAAAACATAGTTTGGTGTGAGGACAGTGCTTGAAAGGTTCTGTTGTGTCTTTGGACACGTGCCATGCCCTGCTTCAAGCCATTTTTCAATGCATGCTCGTTCATATGTCTACAATAAAATCAAAAAGAAGAAGTTTAAATGACCCTTAAGGCAAATGTGAAACAGAAAAAGTGAAGTAGCAATGCAAAAAAAATTAAAAGCACTCTCCTGTGCCTTGTGTGCACATGCAACACAGACTGGGAGAATGGTCCCAACATGTAATGGTTCCCTCGAGAAGGTCTAGATAAAAAAGTTGGATGAAAAACAGTCAGTGGATTTTTCTGGATGCTAGTCGATAGTGTTCCCCCCTTCCCCCCTTCTAACAATCCAGAATAATGCAGTAACAGATAATGCAGATCATCCACTGGATCTCTCTAGGTAGCAACAAATGCCAGGTCCTAAATACTGCATTTGTTCTGCATACAACACCAGTTTCCATCCCAAAATTTCCCTAAAATATTATTGTGTACCCTTTTGATGTTGTCTGATGCAGCAGAAGAAAGCAAATAAGAACTCAAAATAATAACAAAAATATCATGGTGTATATGAACTGGGTTATGAATTGGAATATATACCTGTCCTGTTGAAACTATGACAGGATCTTTCATCAATTCCAGTGATATTGGACAGCGGAAATCATCTGGTATGACTGGAATTTCAGTCTTCTCATTTGCAGGAGCACCCATGTCAGGGTCTTCAGTTTGTACAAAATCCTTGATTTTCTTCAGCAGCATTGACATCTTTTCTATGTTCTCCCCTGGATCTCCGCCACTGGCAACAACCATCTCATGCAAAGCTAGTGATTCTTGCTTAAGATCAGCAATGCTCATCAACTGTAACTTTTCAGCCAATCTCCTTAAGATGGTTGGATCTATTTCTGCATCACCACTCCTGTTGTAAACAGACAAAAGATCCTCAAACAGTTCGACATCAGGTGCATCAACCCGTCCTTTGGCTCTTTTGAACTGAGAAAGGACAAGCTCAACCTGGAGAAAACAAGTTCTGAAGGAATGAAACAGAAAGGACAAATAAAATTTAAGACCTCAGCTCTTCCAGATACCCCAAATAAAAGGATGAAGAAAAGGTACTTTCAAGGAACAGAACTATAGTTTTTGTTTGTGTGTGTGTGTGCACATGTGCGTGTGCAGGGGGCATATCATGCAAAAATATGATAAGAATTTTCTGTTTCACTTCTACTAAAAAAAAGTTCAAGATATACTGCATATCTGCATATCTAATGAAATCAAAGATTTAAAGAACTCACCTCAAGGTCCCGAAATGCCCATTGACATTTAAAAGAAAAGAAAAAAAATAAACAAAAGAAAATCTTGTTTAGGTCCTGTTTAGCATTTAGATATATATAATCCTGTTCAGGTACTCTGTTACCATTTGGACAAAGAAGATGGACTGCATAGTTAGATCTCTACCTGTTCTTTAACTTCATCTGATATGTCAAATTTATCGTAGGAAATTCTACTCAATGCCTGTTCTAGTTGAGCTGTCACTTCCTGAAATTTGTTCATCATTTGCTCCCTCTCTAGCACCTTCAAGTACACATAATGAGGTTAGGTCCAACAAAAATGTGAGATAGGAATGATGGATTTCCATCATTAAATATTGATTCAAGCAAACTATGAAGGTGAACTTGCAAGATAAATTAATGAAACAAATATTACTTACATGGTGGGGTTTATCCGTTTATGTGTATGCTTACGTGAGTATCATGCCTGTATGCATATGTGTGTGTACTCCCACGCATGCATACACAGACCAAAAAATGGAAAAAAAAAAAAATTCATTATACTTGCCCACGTGCACAAGGAAGTGAGGGCAATGCTAGAGGCAATTCATTTCCATAAGACCACAGATCAAGATGGACACAGATCAAAGATAATTCATGCTGGAGCATATCCAAACAGCGAAAAAATATATATTGAAAAAAATAAAAAAAAACTATAGGACTTTCAGAATGGGAAAAGTGGTAGCTGGTTTATCATATGAGATAATCCAGAGGATGATGTTCGTTTGCAACTGTGTAAAATTATCTTACTTGTCAAAAGCATGAGTAATGTTGCAATTGTAAATCCCTTTTCTTTTACAGTAACTCTCACTTTGGGAAAGAGGCCTTGATTACCTCTCCACTTATGTATTTATGATTCTTATCATGATAATAAGTTACTATACTAATCAAACAAAAGTACAAGATAGAAGAAGCAAAGTGTATGTGCCAGCATGAATGAATGCTAGTGTGTTTGGGAAATATACGGATGGATTGATGAATTATTGCCTCTTTTCTTTCTTTCTTCTGTGAGTGTGGGTATATTTCACTGGGGTTTCTTTTTCAGTGACATGTTCCACTTGGAACATGGTGATGTTATAATCAAAAAGAAGGTAAAGTAAATCTGCCAAGGAAATTAAGAATCTAAAAGCTTCTGTTGTATGCTACATGACAGAAGATACTAAAGCAACAAGTATTGCAGTTACTGAAAAGGGATGATCAAACCTTCAAAATTGCAAGTTATAACTTATAAGCAGTATCACTGTAAATAAAATATCGTGTGTGAGCATCCAATGCAGACTTCCCCACAGATCACCCAAAACATCATCATTAAACGTATGCTACGTGAAAAACTACATTATCATTAACTGTATGGTCATCTCATCATGGTCTGCCCCATTTCATGTCAAGTGGTTAGCTACTTCAGTTAACGGATTGCAGCTGTCAAGATGATTCTCAGATATTTCAGATCACATTTTAAATTAGAAGAAAAATTAGAAGAAAAATTAAGAGAAAAAAAAACAATAAAGGAAAAGAAAATGACAAAAGAATAAATTTTGGCGGTACAAATGCAGACCGCTAACTTTATTTAATGGTAAATTGTCTAAAACTCACCATGAGTTTTCAACATTTCTCTTAAACTCACCTCAACTTTTCAAAATGTCTAAAATTCACCATGTCAGTAAGCTTTTATTTTCCAAAACTCACCTTCCGTTAGTCCACCATTAATGCTTCTTAACAGAGGTGTCCATGTCAGCATAAATAACAATTTTCATGACCAAATTATCCTTGAATGGTGAGTTAGAGGAAAAATGGTCTTTTTCAGTTTTTAATTTTCTTGTTTTTTTTGCATTTTTAGTGTTTTGTTATAATTTCCAATGTTTTTATAATTTCTGTTTTTTTACATTTTTCTATTTTCTACAATCTATAAACTTTCCTGTATTTTTTGTTATTTATTTGCAATTTCTGTGTTTTTCTATTATTTTTGGTGTTTTTTCTACAATTTTTATTTTCTGATTTTGTTTTTCAATTTCTATAGTTTCTATAATTTGAAAATATTTTTTTATTTTGTTTGCAATTTCTATAATTTTTTATATTTTTTGTAATTTTTATGTTTTTATGTATTTTATATTTGAAAATATTTTTTTGAACTTTTTCCTTTTTTCATGTCTAAATATTAAAATGGTAATATATTGACACCTGTTAATTTATTTTGTATATATTTTATATTTTTCTATGAAGGTTAAAATGGTAATATAGAGTTTACCAATTCCACAAAAGAAACAAAGTCGTTGTTCCCCGGTTCCCCTTCCTGGAGTTAACCAATTCCAGAGAAAAACCTAAATTTGTGGGTATATAGCTTCATAGTCATTACATCAAAGCTAACTCAATGTTCAACATCATGACTATATGCTTGCCCTATCAAGATTGGAGGGAGTTATGCAGTTACATTCACCTTGGCTGAAGGTTAGAAGAATGAGAATCCCGATCTCTCATTCATAACGTATTGTGAAAGAGATTCTCATGATAACACATGGACAATTCGCTTTATTCTTTCTTTCGATATCTACAAAATATTGTCATGCCCCAAACGAAAAATCTAATCTGCACTAGTTGTAGCTTAATAAAAACAGGTTGAAACATCGAATTGTCATACAACTTGAACACTAGTTAACAACAGTCACGCTAAACTAATCAATTCCAAGAAGAAATTCGGCATAGAAAATGATTAATCAAGTCCACCTATATATAATCTAAAACCCTAGCCTCGCTGGACCATAGAAGCAGCAAAAAATAGTCTCCGAGTGCATGTGTGTGTGTATGAGAGAGAGAGAGAGAGAGAGAGAGAGAGGGAGAGGGAGAATCCCCCCAACAGGTGCTTAAAAAAGATCATTTAGAGATCAAGCCGTAAAACCCAAAAGAGATTACAAAATTCAACAGCAAAATAACAAATGAATAAGGAAGGACATTAATAAAATACGCACCAAGAAAATTTTGCTGCCTTCGCTGCCGAATCTGAGGATCTCTTTAGTTGATTCCAAAGCTTCCTTTAAAGAAATTAGGGCTTTTACATTGTCCTCAGTGATCGGGTCTTTGCTCTCTTTGAACTCTTCAAACATGGGTATCAAGAGCTTCAATCGCCTCGCAAGGTTACAGTACTGTTTCTTGATTGCCCATCTGTAGTCCGAGATCGCAGAAATCTCATTAACGACGTCAATTAGCTTCTGATTTAGCGTTCGATTTTCCTCTTCCATGGCTAATTAAGATCCCTGACACACACTCTCTGTGTAAGTGTGCCGTCTCGTATCGATCAATTAACAATTTAACAGAAAACAAAGAAATTAGGAGTTAAGCTAGATTTGGTTAGAGAGGTTGGAGGTCATCCGCTTAATGCTTAATTTACGAATGCTACTCCAAAATGTGATCCCGGCAACGGCAACGGCAACGGCAACGGCAACGGCAACGGCAACGGCAAAGGCAGCAGCTCTCATTCATCTCCGGTCTCCATGTCGTGTGGGAGAAAAAACAAAAAGTCAGTCTGGTCCGTTCTTCACTGCAGAGACTTTTCTGGCGCGGCTGAGCTCAACTGGGGTTAGAATTTAACTGCACTGACGTTGTGGGGTTAAGCCGAGTTAGAGACATTAGAGAGTGGAGAGTGGAGCGTCTTTGGTCGCCCGCCGCTGGTCAGTTTTATGGTTCAACCAAAACCCACCGAATCTTCTACGACTCTTTCTAGTTTCTACGCCCCCTAATAATATTTCCCGTCCACCAAGCACACCCACACATATAAAATAGGTGGGGGTGGGCAAACTAAAACAAGTATATCTGCTCAACCTTTTATATGGAGTTGTTGGGAGAAGGATGTAAAGGTGTCAATTGGGTCAATTGATAAGGTCTTTAGCTGATATAGCTGCTTGTAGTTGTAGGGGAGACTTTCGGTCAATCCCGCTGACCGGTGGCCATCTACCAGGGTAAGGTTAGGAGGATTACGGTTTTGGGTATTTCCTCATGGAGCAATATACAACTCCTTTGGACTTATTAATGCAAGTCTTTTTTTTTTTTTTAATAAATGAGACAAATAAACAAAACAACAAAAAAACAAACACAACAAAAGAAACAAGGAGGAAATTAAACCCTGTTTGGCAATGTTTCACGAGAGTGTTTCTCTCCTTCCCAGTACTTCCGCATGTTTGACAAAAGAAACACGAAAAATATGTCATTCCTGGTGCAAAAAGAATGGCATGAGAGGAAAACGCAGTTCCCACAACGTCTTACAGTAGTTACAAACACGTGTGTGGTTCCCATATGAGAGGACGGGTTTGGCAGAATCAACGAGAAAAGAAGACCTTGTTGAGCTTGATTCTAGTCCGACTTTGTAAAATGACTTAAGAGGTGTAGGATAAGTGGGAGTCATCGGGCATAAGTGAAATACCACTACTTTTAATGTTATTTGACTTATTCCGTTAGTCAGAGGCAGGGCATCGCCCCTCCTTTTGGACCTAAGGCTTGCCTTAGTGGGCCGATCTAAGGTTGTTGGTAAAGGTTGGAACATTGATGTTATTGGGTCCAAAGTGATCAAATTTATAAAAAAGAAAAACAACCTTGCAAAAGAGCTAAGAAAGTGGAGTAAAGTCCATTTTGGCAACACCTTGGAAAAGAAGAAAAATCTAGTTAGTAGATTAAAACAAGTTCAAAAAGACATTTCTGAAAATCCAAATAATATCTCCCTTTTAAATCTTGAAATGCTCTCCAAAAACAACTTGATAAACTATTAAAAAGGGATGAGGCTTATTGGGCTCAAAGAGCAAGAATAGACTAGATCAATTTGGGAGACAGGAACAATGACTTCTTTCATACAATGGCTACTATTAGAAAACATCATAATAGAATTATTAAAATAAAAAATGATGACGGCGTTTGGATTAATGACCAACCAGGAATTGCATCTCACTTCACATCAAAGTTTAGGCAAAGATTCAAATCAGAGGGTACCGATGGAATTGATAATTTCATAAATGAAATTGATCAATGTGTTACTGAATATCAAAATGCTCATATCTCGAGGGATGTTACAAATGCTGAGATTCGTGAGGCTCTTGATTCTATGAAGGACCTCAAGGCTCTAGGACCAGATGGTTTAAATGTATTGCTTTTCAAAAAATTCTAGAATATTATAGGAGATTCAGTATGTGATGTAGTAAAAGCTTTCTTCCATAGTGGAAGACTATCCAGGATTTTAATCCAAACTTTTATCACTCTCATCCCAAAAAAGAAGAACCCTGAAACAGTGAATGATTACAGGCCTACCAATCTATGCAATGTCATTTATAAAGTCATTACTAAAATCCTTGTCAATAGGATCAAACATCTCCTGGACAAAATAATATCCCCGTATCAGAGTGCCTTTGTGCCAAACAGACAAAATAATGATAATATCCTTGATGCTGCTCGATCCGAAGTGGTGCACAAACCGAGGTTGTAGTCAGATAGTCCTTGCCAACAGGGTGGAGCCGAGGTGGAAGGACGAGGTTGTGCTTCAAGACCTATGATCAAGAAAGGAAGTCAGAGGCCCGAGGAGTTATCCCTGTGTAGGCACTCCGACGCTCAAGTCAGTAGAAGGTGGTGGATGGTCGGGCAGAGTAATGAGGGTGTTGGTCCGAGCAAGTGAGTATTATGAGTGCTAGAAGTTGGAATCCTTTACCTTGAGCAGGAGATACCTTTTAATAGCCAAAGGTCCATGTCCTAGTTGGATTGGGCTTCCGGAGTTACTGGGATGAGATTAACCGTTGAAGTCTTTGGGATAGAGTCCTATTCCCCAGCGAAGCTGCCCTCATCCCTTCTCCTATCCATGGTCATGCTTATCTACGTGATGTGTGGCTAATGTGGCTTAGAGGATAAGGTGGGTGCCTACGGAAATAGCATAGCACAGTCATGACTACGGAGTCGGTGTATGTCGCGGAGCTGGCTGGGCCGTACTGATGTGGCCGAGGTGATTGGGAAATGACTGGGCGGCCACAGGTCATCTAAGGCAAGCTTAACCATGACCCGAACACCACTCCCCCAATTCTGAACTTGAGGAATGAAGTGCTCGGCCGAGGTGTAGCGCGACAGAGTGCTTTGTTCCTCGGCTAAATAGGGCTGCTCACGGGTCGGGTTGGGTCGGTTTACTAGCATTTTTCAACCGACCCGACCTAGCCGGTTAACCTAGAAATGAAATCGAAACCGACCATGTACTAAGTAAAACCGACCTAATTGGTTTGAGTCAGTTTGGGTTGGTTTGGGTCGTTTTGTGAATGATTCTCTCGGTGTGAACGATCAAGGATTAAAGTCTAAGAAGCGAAGGCTGGATGCCTAGAAATTAAAAATGATTTGATAGATTAAAGTTGAAATTTTATATATAATATGTATATTTCCAAAATAAAGTTGAAGTATATACATATATATATATATATATATATATATATATATATATTTCCACAAATATATATCTGAAATATATATTAAAACTGAAATATATCAGATATATAATATATATATATATATATATATCTGAAATATATTATATATAATATATATCTAAGTCGGTTCGGGTTGGCTTGGTTTCAGTTTTCACACATGAAAATTGAAACCGAACTAAACCATCGGTTTATGTTTTTTTGTAACCCGAAACAGACCGGTGTTGAAGAAAAACCAGTTGACTCGGGCTGGATTGGACCGGGTTGGTCGGTTTAGGTCTTGTTATGAACATCCCTAACTCCAAGTTGAAGTTCTGGTTGACCATTTGGTCCACTTAGTATTCCTCGGCGCTTGGCAGAGATTGAAATCCGCGCAATGCAGGTTGTAGTTGAGGAGTTTTTCAATCGTTGGCTATAGAACTTCGAGAATTCTAATTTTGGAATCCGAACACCACCCCCTAGTTCCGGAGACGAGGAGAGGAGTGCTTAGCCGAGGCATTGTGCGGTCGTTTACCCCGGTCAGGCGTCGAGAAGCTAAGTTGGTCTTCGGAGTTCGGGCTTCTCTGATGCTCGGTTGTGCTGCATCGTGAAAGGTCTCTTCGTTCTTCAGCTGAGGAACTTACACTCGGAATTTCGAAATCCGAACACCACTCCCCCCAATTCCGAAGTCCAAGAGTGGAGTGCTCGGTTGGGATGCAGTGCTGGCTCTTTTGGTTGGGGACTGAGGTGTGTCGGACCTGTCGTTGGGTGTTTTGAGGAGACTCAAGGGCTTGGTTGGACCGGTGGTCTTGGACGGACCATGGAGGTTTGCAGATTTGGTTGGACCAGTGCTTCAGGGCGGACCGGTGTAGTTAATGCTTTTATCGTTGCTTGTCAAGAACGTCGCTTCGGTTCCTGAGGCCTCACGCGTGCCATGACATTCGCGTCGATTGGTCTTCTCGAGCTTCGTTAGAGCAGCGCTTGATCTCCACCATTGATCTGGCTTTGATTTGTGCCTCTAGAAGTTATAAGAAGGGAGGAAGGGCATTTCTCCTTCACCATTTGTGAGAGAGATTGCTTAGGGAGCTTGGCAAGGGGTTGTTGGCGTTGCTCGGATTCTGCTCTAATTCCGCAACTTCAAGTTCGGTAAGATGTCTTCCTCGTCTTTTCATTCTTCTTCTTCTTCTCCTTCTGGTTTCGGTTCTTCTTCCAGTTCTAGTGGCTCCAATTATGAGTCTGAGGTCGAGGAATTTGAGAAGGTAGAGTCGGAGAGATCTGCCGAGGTTGGTCCTTCCAGCGTGGAGGTATAACTTCTCGTGCGGGCTGGTCATCAATTCGAGACCACCTCTTGTAGCTTGACTCCCAGGGACATGACTCAGATCCAGGCCCTGTATGACATTCCCGAGAAGTTTGGGATAAGGTGTCCATATGCCGGCAAGAGGCCAACGGATGCTCAACCGGGCGAGGTATGTGTGTACGAGAGAAGCTTGGAAGTCGGGTTGAGGTTCCCTTTGGACGAAGGGGTAGCCGAGGTATTTGAATGGTACTGGGTGCTGCCGGTGCAATTGATGCCGAACTCTTTTAGGTTTTTGCTCGGCCTTATGTCGTATTGCTTCGTCTGTGACATCGAGTTGGCCCTGGGTATGGTGAGCTATCTCCTCCAGCTAAAGCTTCACCAGCAGGGCTACTACTATTTCTCGGCCCCATCCTCAGTGAAGACTAGAAGGGAGAGTTTTTCTTTGTACACTGTCCTAGGGGCCTACCTTTCCCGATCGCGTTGTAGAAGCCGATGACAAAGGTGCAGCAACCCAAGTGGCACAGGCTTACTAGGGAGGAGAGGTTGGCCCTAAGCATGATCAATGAGATAAATGTGCTGGCGCAGACATTCTCTGAGATGTTGATGCTTGCCGGACTGATGCGTAGAGTGGCCAGTTTGTCTTGTTGCTTCAATTTACTTGTCGAATCCTTCTTTCTTCGAATTTATGCTTACTCTGTCACAATTCTGCGGTGCAGGTGTGGAGACAGCAAGCGAGGAAGAAATTGTCCGCCGAATGAAGAAGAATCAGCAGAGGTGAAGGGGGGGTGCACGGTCCTAGCCCCGTTAGGAGGTGGTTCTGCCACCGAGGTCTCCAGAGAGGGCATCCCGTCAGCAGAAAAGGGCTTGGCAACGGGGTGACAATGAAGATGTGGTAGTGGTGGAACCGGGGAAGTATCGAGTTGTCATTCCTCCTTCTCCACAGATGGAAGTAGGGGGCAGCAACTTGGCCTTTCACATGCTGCAGTGGACGGTCCATCCCGAAGAAAGACTTGAGACGGAGGAGGTACC